AAAAAAAAAAAACGTGATTCCACATAAATCCGTTGCAAGCGTCGCATTTTCATAAATTTTTCAAAAAGTATATTTTTCACAAGAAAAGACAGTGTTAGGCACACCTTGACAAGACGAAACTCAAGGTATGCCAAACTACAGTAACATTTTAGGCGTACGGTATACGGTAGGAGATCAACATCGCAACCGTCTGAGAGTTTGCGCAAAGTCAGACGAAATCGCGATGTTGACTTCCTAACGTAGCTACCGTCTATCTTGCATGCTGCTGTGCGACACACCTCAAGATTCATTGACAAGCTAAGTCTAACACCGTCTTTCCTTTCGAAAAATATCTATTTTGAAAAAAGTTATGAAGTTGCGACGCTTGGGACGGATTTTTATGTGAAATCACGTTTTTTTTTTCCAAAATATATGAGCGGTAGTGTAAGGCCTACAAAACACTATATGAACCTACAGAACAAAAAAGTATGGAATGATGAAAGTCTATATCCTAGATTCCGAATCAGATTATTTCCGAGGAAAACTATCCTGAAACCTTAGCTTTCCAACGACAAAGTCGTTTCCTAGATTAACTGCTCTAATTCTTGTTAACTTAATCACATAACCTTTATTGGTGTTAGCATCAATCGCTCGCGCTCGTCTTCTCAGTGTTCCATCAGCGCTGTCCGCTAATCCAGTCAGCATACGAGACATTTCCTCATGACGCTAAAATTCAAAATCTTCAATACAGTAAAATTCGCATGACTGGACAACCTGCAAAGAATTCTGCGTATTTGGAGGACGCCTTCGTCTACTTGAATCACCGTTGTCCTGTTGTTGTTCAAGTGCCCAAATTTTCCCCCTAAAATTCCAGCATTAGTCCAGTTGTCTAAGCCACATCAGATTAATAAAACCAGCCTGGTTTTATTCCTCTCACGTTTCTCTGCCATGCGTTTACGTTGCTGTAAGATCTTTTCACGAGTAGTACGATACTCTAACGCAAATTCTGTGACCTAAAGCCTTCTTCCAGCACCTTTCATAAAGTGTTATGAAGACAAAATGTTACCATCTTGAATACTTCATTGGGATTTTGATCGGGGATTTCGTTAACTGAGTATCCAAAGTAAATTAGGAACGCATGCCATCTGCAAAACTTACGTCATTTCCATGAGTATAAATATTCGATGCTCGCTACCTGTTCTTGGTTACATTGTAAATAGTGTTAAGTTGATGGATTCTTTGGGCCACATCAGTGAGATAATCGTTGATCTTCTGTCTCATAGAAGAATTGTCATTTTTAGCGATCTGAAAATCTTCTCTAAACCACCTCATCGTATCATGCAGACAATATTATATTAAAGAAACATTATCCTGCTTCTTTTTCTTGATTACCTTCGACAAGTACTCCCAGCTCGCTTTACATTCTTTTTCAAGCCGTTTTAGGTTATCGTATAATTCCTTGTAATCAACCTGTAATTTGAAAATTCTAGCTTGCTTTTGCTTCAATGCTTTCATCTACACCACATTTGCAACAAGACGTATACAGACCCTGGCGCTACGCGCAACAGCTCCAAATTCCGTATAGAGATCAGTTCCTTCGGGGTAATGCTCAAGCATATATTCTGCCAAGTGATACGTCAGTGTATGCTTGTAAACCGGATCTTTTACTTCAGACGCCTTTGATAGATAATCCAATTGAAATCCTTTGATCT